GGGGGGGGGGGGGGGGTCACCAGACTGGCCTCCTTAGCTCTCACCGAGTAAATATATCCCGTCCCGTAGTCGGAGAAGTACAGCAGGTCGAGATCCTCTAGCCTGGTGTCCAGCTGGAGGGCCTGCGGGTCTGTTAGGGTCTGGTAGTAGTCTTCTACTCGGAGCTCGCCGCGTCGCTCTTGGGTCACGCCGCTCAATATCGTGACAATCTGGGTGGGGATTTCGGGATTGGCTATTTTTGAATATTATGTCACACATACCACAAAAATATATATCTGCGAATAGCACGCACATCGCACACACTCGGACGTGCGGTTCTCCCTCGGCTGCTTTGACACGCTCACCCCTTCGTCGGTATAGTTCCGCATGTTTCCCCGCATGATCGAGGGGACGTGCGTGTCGGTGAGGTACATAACGGCGAGCCTCACGTCTAGCACGAGGGCCTGAAAGGGAAAGACGGTCGGAATGGTGCGAAATATCGCAGCAAGCGGGCAAACAGGGGAAATGTTACGAACGTGTGACCCTGCACAGCAGTACTGGACGAGTCGGCAGGAACAGCGACTTTCACGACGATGTGGAGTCCTCTGCACTCAAGAAAGATAGATCCTCATACGCAGGATATGCCTTCCACCAACACCGCGCCAACGTCACGCAGCTCCGCCCAACAACAGAGGAAAAACAACAACAACGCCACACCTCACCCGTGGATCCGACATGTTCTGAGATGCGGCAATTTCCACCGAGGTCCCATCCAGGTCGCATCTAATGACCACTCCGTCCTCTCCTCCGTCCTTCCCTCGAACCTGAGCGTCCACAAAGTAGATCTGTTCGTTTTGTTGCGTATCACGTGCGGACGTGAGGTGGGCACGGTATGCGAGTGATGAGTGGGGATATCGGTCTTTCGTCGCCCTCTTACTCCGTTTACCATTGGAAGTCAGGGCCGGGGGGGAGACTCAGTAAGTTGTGGAGGGAAGGAAATAAGGTACAGTACATCGTTTGTTTCGATGCCTCCCACGGGCGTTGGGTGGGGGGTGGACAAGGGCAACGAAGAAGCCCGAGCCACACCCCGTCCGAGTATCAGTCATATTAAATGAGGCTGGAAAATAACAGACACAGTGGACATATAGTGGTCCTTGTTGACGACAAAGTTGTTGAGGGCAGACATGGGCTCTTTCCCCTCAAATTGGTGCTGCGTGTACGCTGTTCTATCCTGATGCCGTCTTCGTTTCGTGATTGAGCTAAAGGGGACATAATAAGGTCAACACAGGTCGACATATGCCACACACAAGGGTTGGTCGAATAGTGCATGTTGTCGGCGTCCTTTTCTGTTAGCAGCCGCGAGGAGGGTGGGGGGTGGCCGGTGGGAAATGAATGTACTTCTCGGGGCGGGCGCACTCATTTGTTCGTTGCCCTTTGGGCCTACACCTACTCGAGACACCAGAATTAGTGGGATTCCTTTAACAACCCGGCTGCTTTTCCCAGATACTGTTTTGTTGCCTTGCCCCCTTTCCTTTCTGGCAATTTTGTGGCCGCCATCTATTCTTCGGGCACGGGGGAGGGGACGGGGGGGGGCGTTGTGTTAAAGGGTACAAATTTTTCCTCGTGACTCACCGTCGTCAAGTCTTGAGACCAACGAGCGCACACACACATATACCGATCAACACAACGGAGGGGGGAAAAGGTGCTATCGTTCTTATCCCAAATATCCGGGACGCTTAATATTGCACGAGCAGTCGTTCGATGAACCGATACCGATCATGTCATGTTGCCCGACAGCATGTGAACGAACGTTTTGATCGACCGAAATCCAATCAACCCTCATCAACTAACCGCGCTTGACAGCACCACCACAAACTCAGAAAGAGTCCGACCGAGTGATCACCTCGTTCGACAAATCACAACGACTCCATCAGGATCAGGCACTTTGAACGACAACCACCAATCGAACGACATTCTGTAGGACCAACGAACAACTCGTGGTACACGTTGCCTTTCCTTTTCATCCACGAGGTCCAGAGCGATCCCAAGCGGATCCGTGAGGTTGTACCCCAGGTCGATCATCCCGGACTGTATGGGACCGGACAGGTCCTCGTAGCTCATGGGGTCGCTGTCGTTCGAAAGCTTCTTTCGAAGCACCTGTTTAGGGTGAGCGATGTAGGGGTACGATACTCTAGCGGTCAGGGATTTTCACGACATTGTCGCTTGCGGGAGCTTGTACGGTTCCATGCGTTGTTTCGTTTCCAGCCTGTTATTAGAGTTGGCATCAACGTGGGGCGCAATTGGTGAGAGTTACGTGCGGTAAGATTCCTTGTTGCTGGGGCCATTGCTGATGGTTTTAGAGAGTCTGTCAACAAAATTTGTGTATTGAGGCAGGGGATACAACCAAGGAGTCGCGAAGCGTTGAATGTTGGAGCCCGCCTTGGCTACACGTTGGCGACAAGTGGGGGGTTCGCTGCCGTTCGAGCCCATTTCTAAGCCTCTGTCTTGACACTGGTTTGAAGTCGAGCCAGGGAGACACGGATCAAGGAGAATTCCCAGGGTTTCGACCGGGGTGAGAGAGGTAGCACGGAGCCCGATCACAGCTGCCGCCGTCGGCAAGAAATAAACTTCAAGTATGTTGCGGCGTGTGATGCTTGAGCACCATCGCAAAGCAGGGTGTCATCAAGGGATGGATGGTGGGCGGCTAGACATCAACACGCTTTTTGAGATGAAAACCACTGATAGATTCGTCCGGCATTTGTTCAATGCTGAGTGGGGGGCATCAAGTACGTGATACAGTTGTACGTGAGAGAGGAAACTCTCCTTCTTACTCGTTGTGTGTTCGATGAGGTATGGCTGGAATCCTCATGCCGTTTCACAACAACTCGCCCACCTACCACATTTCGGCTTGCGTCGTCAAGAAACAAGACATACTGCTCATCAAAACTTTGAAGAACACAAACAACAGAGTCGACAATACGCGCTTCGACACAGAACATTGCATACCGCCTTCAGACAGCAGCATGGACACCTATCACCTCTTCCGCGTTCTTTGCGCATACAACACGCCTCCCCAAGGAAGCAGTGCGCTTTCGTGTTGACTTGACTCACCCTTCCATCCGGCACGCTGTCGTTGCCGGGGACGGTCAAGTAGAGGTATCTCTTGTCCGGCCTGAGATCCATCTCCAGGTAGCCCGGCCGCTCATAGCCGGGTAGGGTGACGAACGCCTCCGCAAGGCCGTTGGCCGTGCCGTTGGCGGCGTGCCATATTTCCTCGTCGACCAGGTCGCTCGGCAGGGGTATTCGCATCACCTGCCGGCCGCGATTTTTCAAGTTTGCACAACATTTTCGGCGGACGCTTCGAGATCTAGATGTGGTGAACTTCTGAACCTTACCTCATGAACCACATGATCATGTTTCGGTTTCTCTTGGGCCGGCTCGCCGGCATTACTAATCTACAGTACAATTTCTATCCAGTTGGTGGCGGCATCAGCTATCTCGAAACTCTTTGTCTTTCCCGTGTTCGCAACCCTTTGTAAAATCTCTCCACTCGCCCACCCGGTTTTCGTGGCCGTAGTACAGCACTCGGTACGTCATGTCGAGAGCGAGTGCATTGGAGAGATCGGTTGTGTTGTCAGTGGCGTTGACGAACATGATGCGCCCGTTGTCGGGGGTGTCATCTGTAGTCTCCCCGTCCCGCAGTTCGTTGTACCTGCAGCCCTCCCGCCCCACACATATCACACACGCACCGGGGGGATAGGTAGAGGACCAGGGTCAGAAACAAACACCTTGCGACACAGATGAAGAGAGGCAAAGAGAAGCATGAACGCGTTACATCTAGACGAGTCCCAAACACTCCCTCTCCCAAATGCAAACCTCATCTCACCGTAATTCTTCAAGCGACAGCGCCGTTCGACAACAAGTTAACAACATTGACAACAACCAACTTTTCGGGTAGGTGGACTCTCTCACCAGTAGTACCCGGGCAACACGACTGTAGAGTCGAACGAGTCATCTTCGGTGAAAGGGTGAGAGGAGTTGTCGCCCCCGTCTGTAAAATAGATATTCCACTCGTTCGTCTCAGTACCAAGCGCTAGGAAGCTCGGTCGCAGGACGAATCCCGGGCACCTGAAGGGACGAGATATGTATTCCACGCGCCAACCACAGGGCGCACGATTTTTTTCGGGGAGACAACAAAGCAACGATGGCGGTAACAACCACGAGCCAGCAACGACAGTGAAAGCTGCTGTGACAACAAGATGGCATGGACATATGGGCCACACTTCTTGGGAGTGTCAGGTGGTTGACGCCCAGGGAGATATACAAGATACCTCGCATGATCATGAATGGCAGGACGAAGGGAGACCGTCTGCATCGCTAGCAGGAACAAGAACCTATCCTCGACAACGGCACTCCTCCTAGTCCAGCGATAAATTGGGGGAGAATTTACTTGGAGATGGATCCACGCTCAATCCAATGTAAGACGGGGCGTTTGAGTGGACATCCCCTGTGTGACCAACCAACTCACATCTGGCGTCCGGTCCAATGAGAATGATAAACCACGTATTGTCCGCAAGGTCCGTACTCCTGGTCGTACTCGTAATCTTCGTCGCAGGTGCACTGATCGTAGATGCCGCGGAAAAAGGATCGGGACGGGGGTTACTCGAATATCTGCTTGGTTTTGGCCGTCGGACTACTAAACGCGCATCCACAGTTTTGGACGAGGAAAGAGGGGGGGACGCGGGGGTGCTCCTCTGTCGTGATGACCGTGGTCGCGAGACCGCAGACTCTCGTGTTTCTAGTGGGGCAATAATTTCATCCGTGGATCGCGGTCATTGAGCAGATGAGAACCACGCTACCTCCCAAGAGTGGGTGTTGAGATGGGTTCGGGAACTTTGGTGCCGACATGCTTTGCGTGGTTGATAGCTTCGCATGTCTGTGGGCGCTTCCAGAGGTAGCTAGGGGAACGCTCTGCGGCCGCATCACGGGTGCTTGGCAGAGACCCCTTGGCACTCGCCACGCCCACTCCCCTTTCGTAGAGGTTGTGTTCTCCATTAGGCACAACATGATCTCCTTCGATCACCATGGTCACTGCCGGGAGCCATGCATTTATTAAAAGTAGTGACGAATCTATATAATTTACATCCACACGATATTGAAGGGAATTTTTCAGGAGGGGGGGGGGGCTGCTCGGATCGACATGAAGATCGCCTCTCCTGTGTTTGTCACACGCGTACGTGTACCGTATCGGCGCAACAAGGGGCACGAGACAGCGTTAAGGATGCATGGGCACGGTGAGGGTAGGCAGGGCATCACGCCGACCTCGTGCTACGCACGCACGCTGCCGTGACCATGTTTTTTACTCGCGTCACCGCATGATCACCTTACACCAACGCGAAAAAATCACCGGCATGATCTCAAAGAACCACACATCATCCGCGACCCCGCCTTCACACCACCACA